GGCGGGCCCGGTGCAGCAGGGAGGGCCGGAAGAGGACAGCCCGCGCCTACCAGGGAGAGCCTCGGGGAGCCGGCTGTTAAGGCGAGGGACTCGGGAACGGAGGCCTGCGGACGGGAAAGCCTGGAGCTGCCCGGCGGCCACGTCCCAGGAGAAGCAGGGGTGGGCTGCCCAACAGCTGCCTCGGCCGGGGCTGCACGGAAGGGGACCCAGGCCTGGTGCCAGCCCTCCGGGAATGGGGGCTTGTGGACCACCTGAGCTCCGAGGAGTTTAGGGAATTATGCTTTGGCGTGGGGTTGGAGCAAAAACTAGGATGCAGCATTCCAAAGATGGGTATCTGATGGGAGGGCTCCCTCCACCCTGTCTGTTATGCTCCCCAGAGTTGTGCCGTCTGAAGTTTATTATACATCTTCTATAACACATGTGCAGACACATCTGTAAATACTTGTTCTGTTTTTTTCCTCTACACAAAAGTCATGTAGATTACTGTACCTTGCCTTATCCCCCCATCTGTTTCAGAGAGTGTTAGGAATCAGCATGTTGCCTGCCTGTGTCCCTTTTCATGGCTATATAGAATTCCATGGGATGAATGTACTGTCGATCATTTAACAATCCCCTATTAATGGACATTTAGGTCCTTTCCAATCTCAGCGGGTCAGACACATTGAAACGGATTTCTCTGAGTGGGATTGCTGGGTCAGTCTGTAATTGAATATCTGCAGTTGTAAGAGTTGTTCTCAAATTGTTCTCTGTGATAGTTGCTTCAGTTTACACTTTCACCAGCAATGTATAAAAAAATAGTTATAGGCCAGGCACTGTGACTCATACCTGTAATCCCAGCACTTGGGGATGCCAAGGCGGGAAGATGCCTGAGGCCAGGAGTTTGAGACCAGCCTGGACAATATTGTGAGACCCTATCTCTAAAAAAAAAAAAAAAAAAATTCTTTTTGAATTTAGTTGGGCGTGGTAGTGCATGCCTGTAGTCCCAGCTAATCATTAGGGAGGCTGAGGCAGGAGGATCAGTTGAGCTCTGGAGTTGAAGGTTGCAGTGAGCTATGATTGTACCACTGCTCTCCATCAATTCTGGGTGACAGAGTGAGACCTTTTCTCAAAAAAAAGAAAATGTTTATAACGTTATTATACTCTGGAGATACCTTTTTTTTTTTTTTTTTTTTTTGAGACACAGTCTTGCTCCGTTGCCCGGGCTAGAGTGCCGGGGCGTCAGCCTAGCTCACAGCAACCTCAAACTCCTGGGCTCAAGCGATCCTCCTGCCTCAGCCTCCCGAGTAGCTGGGACTACAGGCATGCACCACCATGCCCGGCTAATTTTTTCTATATATTTTTAGTTGGCCAATTAATTTCTTTCTATTTTTAGTAGAAACAGGGTCTCGCTCTTGCTCAGGCTGGTTTCGAACTCCTGACCTTGAGCGAGCCTCTCGCCTCGGCTGGAGATATCTTTTTTTTTTTTCCATTTTTTTTTTCAGAGTAAGTGCTTTGAAATGGAGATTTTTTTTATGACCAAAAAATATTCCACCATGTGGCTGAGGTGGCTCATACTAGTCCATTCGTCACTGGGGGTGTGGAGGTTGCTGCCAATCTTTTGATGATAGAAAATGCTCAGAGAGTCTCTGAGGCTGCAGGTGCCTCCAGCCCAGTGGTGTCCCCTGCTAGAAGGCAGGAGCCTTCTAGCAATGCCAGTGCTAGCTGCTGCTTTTCTGAGCATCCCATACCACCCTCATCCATGTCAGACCCCTACCCAGAACTCGATGCCCAAGCTAGACTGGACTGGCATGTTCTGAGCTCCCCAAATTTGCCATCTCACCTCCTCACACTTGCCCACAGTTTCTTCTGCCTGGATGCTTTTTCCTCTGGTGAACTCTCACAGGCTGACTGTCCTCAGCTCCTGCCTCTTCCCTCCATGAGCACTGGGATGAGGACGGGTTATCCCAGAGCCTGGGCACAGGACAGTGCAGACAGCAAAGCCATCAACTTGAGGGGGCCTGAAGAGTTTGATGAGCTAGAGCTGGCCTTGAACGCAGAGTCAAAGAGTCCTTGGGGACACAGTGGTCAGGCCTGTGTAGAAAGACTTGGGCTGGGGACAGGCTGGGCTGCAGCAGCCAGGGGAGGTAGGGAGGGGGGGACAGGGAAGGGGATGGGTCTGGGCCCAGGGTCCACACCCCAGGTGATTCCCCAACCTATGCTCCGCATTAGTAAGTCACCAGCCAGCCAGCTGTGGCCACCACTGGCATCCAACTTGCCCCTCCACACAGCTGCCCTCGGCTCAGATGTTGGCTATGCTGTGTCAGCCTCTCAGCATTTCCTGAGGATCAGCTAACACCTGCCTCAGCATCCAGTCTTGCCCCTGCCCAGAACCCCGAGGCTCAGCGAGGGTGCGCTGACTCTCAGACTGGCCTCCGGGGGACGCCAGGGTCAATCCAGTGTTAGCCATCGAAGCCGGCTCGCTTCATTACCTGAACAAGGACCAGCCTGCACAGCCCTGCTTGGAGACCCAGGATGAGGGGAGTGAGGAACTGGGGAAACTGACAGCAGGGAGTGGAGGGAAGGAGGGCAGGGGCAAGCTTGCTGCATGATGGGGGTGCTCTGGGCTGGGAGTGCCTAGGGGTCAGCCCCCCCAGGCCATGGGCTGACCCTCCCTGTACCCACTGTTTCTCCAACCTCTTCCTGCCTTTAGGGTATCTGTGGTGTTGGCGGTGGGGGAGGCTCCTTGACATCCCCGGTCACCTTACCTGGGTTGGGGTCTACCATCCACCCCATCTGGTATAGTCAGGGCTACTGGAATCCTGTTGCCTTTCCAGCCTGACTTCCGTTTTACCTTTTGCTCCATGAAGGTCTTGCAATTTCTGCCCCACCACGGAGGGGCATGAACCTTGAGCCCAGTCCCCAGGACCAAAGGTGCCACGATGAACTTGCCCTGCGTCAGGGCTGCATTTGCCCTTTGTTGGGATGTCTCCCCAGGTCGTTGGCCTTCTCACAGCCCCCACACCGACCTGTGCCCCCAGCTTCATCTCTGGCACCCAAACTCAGCAGCCCCCACCCCACTTCCTCAGTGCCTCCTTTGTCCCATGCCTGGCTCTGCACCTGTCATAGTGTCCTGGCAGCAGTCCAGGGGAGGGCACTGCAGTTATCCCGCGGTGTCCTGGGGAAGCTGGGGCAGAGAGGTCCACTGACTGGCACAGTTACAGAACAGAACTTGACATCTGTGCTGGAGATCCTGTGGCTTTGGCCGGGCCTGAGCCTGGCAGGCCCCTCCCTCCCACGCCCACACCTCTGCCTCCAGGCCCAGCACAGCAGAGCCAGTCTGCCAGGACAGTCCCTGCTCTGCCTTTCATCGGCTGTGTGGCCCTGCTCCTAACCTCTCCGAATCGGTTTCCCTATTTGTAAATTGGGGATAGAGAATCTTCTTTGGGCTGTTGTGATGGTTAAAGGAATAAATGAAATGTGTGTAAAGTCACAGCTATGGTTACTGACGGGGTACATTGTCTTCCTGGTTAGAGTGGGACTCTGAGGTGGGGTGGCCTCTCCCGTGGCAGGGGCAACAGTCACACAGCAGAAACCGCATGTGTGTGACCCCAGAGGATCGGCCTGAGCACCAGCCACCTGCCCTGGGTGTGACCCAGGCAGGCCCTGCCCTGCCCTGGGCAAGCCTCAGTCTCCCTGGGCCCCGCCCGAGGCGCTTGTCCCCTCACCCTGCGGGGGGCCGCCTGGCACAGGAGTCGAGACCCACATCGTCTCTGCGCGCCAGGCCGTCAGAGGGACAAGCTCCCCCTGACCACAAGGCAGAGATCCAGACATTAAGGACAATGAAACACCCGCGCCAGGGCCCGAATAGAACCCGAGGGCCTCCTGGAGTCCGAGGAGGCCTGTCTGGAGGGCGCATGGGGAGAGACCCAGGAAGTTCTCCTGGTGTGATGACAGGCAGGGAAAACTGCAGTAAAATATAATTTAAAACAGACCCTGTAATGGGGAGAGGGCCGGGAGAGAGCTGGGGGAGCTGAGAACCCGAACTCTGCAAACGGGGGACAGTATCTGTGGAGAGTCGGGTGTGGCTTGCGTTTTCTTCGGGAGGTTTCTCCGGCTGATTCAACTTCCCCCACGCGGCCCGCAATGGTTTGGAGACTTAGAAAGACAGAAAAGGAAAAAGAGCCCATCCTGGCGCCTGGCGCAACCTGGTTCCCTGGGGCCGCGGGGACCCCTGGGGCCCAGCCGGGTCCGGCCCTCCCCACGCCCCGCGACTCTGACCGGGCGGCAGAGCCGGCCCGCCCCCGCCTGGCCGCCACCGCACCGCGGCGGGGCGGTGCTGGGCACGGCTCGCCGCAGTGTCGCCGCAGCGCCGGCCGCCGCCCGCCCTCCGCGCCGCGGCCGGGCCCGAGCGCTTCCGAGCCAGGCGCGCCGAGCCCAGGTGAGCGCCGGCCGGCCGCCGCCGGCTCCGTGGACCCGCGCCCCGGCCAGCGGCCAGCGCGCTCGCGGGTCTCGGGCCCGAGGCCGGCGCGCTGGGAGGTGGGGGTGGGCGGCCCGGCCGTAGAGACAGGCCGGGCTGGGGCGGACCTTGTCCTCCTCCCCTGCCCCGCTCGCCTCGGGGATCCTACTGTGTGCCGGTCCCCTTCGTAGGCCGCAGGAAGGGTCCGGCGGTGCGACCGGGCAGGGCTGCTGGAACCGGCTTCCGAGGCCGGGAACTGCACGTGCAAAGGCGGGGAGAGTGGACGCGGCAGGGGCGGGAGCGGAGCCCCCACAGTGGACGCGGGCTGAGCTCAGACGGCACCCCAGGACGCCTGGAAGCCACTGAGGGCCCCGAGCTGGGCAGGAGCCCCAGGGCTGAAGGTGGGGGAGGTGGAGCACTGGGGCGAGGCACCTGCCCAGCGGGGACTCCGGCGCCCTGGGGGAGAGAGCGCCTGAGCAGGTGGGGCGAATTCAGTACCTGCCTTACAGGTGCGGTCCCGGAGCAGGACACAGGCTGCTGGTGAGGAGTTAGCATTGGGCACTGTTAGAGCTTTTCAGCAGGGGCAGCTTGGGGACAACAGATAGCACTCCACACAAACTTTTCCCTGGGTGCCCCAGCAAGGACCTTTGCCTTTGCTTGGGGTCACTGGGCTCCAAGTCAACCTAGCATGCAGTGGGTGGCAGCAAAAAAGCCCCTGGAGTCTCTGGAGGGTTTAGACCCCTGGGTGCCAGGGAAGGGAGGGAATGGCAGGGACAGGCCTCTGGGCAGGTGAGGCCTGAGCCCAGACAGGAAAGAGAGGGCAGAGCTGAGCCAGAGGTGAAGCCAGGACCCGTGGAGGGGTCCCTTAGTGCCCAAGGAGGGGGCAGGTGGGGCAGGTGTTGGCAGAGGTTTACAGACCTGCCTTGGTGACAAGTGGGAAAAAGAGCAAGGACACGCCCAGGTGGCTTTGGGAACCCCCATCTCCTGGCCTGTAATGGGCACCTCTAGGGCAGGTAAGATCAGGGCCAGGCCATAGATGGTCCTCCCCAACCTGTCCTTCCTTGTCTACTCCTCGCTCTCAGGGATCTACCCACGGCCCTTCCTGGTGTGTGGGCCAGACCAGGGGGCCTTAGCCCCACCTCTAGTTAGACTTGAGGAAGAACTTCCAGGGGAAACGGGGGGATGACAGTGGGATGGTTAGTTGTAAAGAGGGAGGCTGTGCCTTTGTTCTGGGCCTTCCAGAGTCCACCTGTCAGCTGTGTCTTCTGGAAGGTCCACCCTGTGGCTTTGAGGACACCTTGGCAGCAGGGATTTCTCTGCTGAGCAGGTGTCCCCTCCCCCGGCCAGGTGGCTTGCAGGGTGTTAGGGTGATATGGTGGCTTCCTGGGCCCCTGTCCATTTTAGAACTAACTAGAGTGGGCAGGGGGAGGCCATACACATAACCCCACCTGCTGATTGACCTTGACGAGATCTTGGCCCATTGGTCTCTCCATCTGCGGCATGGCCTGAGTGACGGAGCGGGACGGAGCGGGCTGGGCAGCCGGGACTGTGTGCCTGGCTTCCCTCCCCCTAACCCTGTCAGGCCCGGGCTGGCTGCCCACTTCTGTTCACCACAGAGCTGGGTTTCCCTGGGGACCAGTGACTGGCCCAGCCCCACACCCACTCCGGGCCCCTCCTGGCCACACTGGTGCTGGGAGGAAGGGAGGCTGAGCCGCCTCCTGGACCCCTGCCCTCCTCGCCCTGCCTCCCACAGCTGGCAGCCTTAGCCCACTGCTGGGCTGGGAACAAGCAGTGGTGGCCCTTGGAGGAGGTGGGTACCCTAGTGCCAGCCCGGGGGGGCTAGGGGAAGCCAGTGTCACCCCCACTATAGGAAGGAGAAACCGGACCAGGAGGGCCTTGGCTTGCCCCAGGTGGCCCAGGGTTTGACCCCAGACATGGTGACCTCCCAGGAAATTGGGAGTCCCAGAGCTCCCAGGCTGTGGGCTTTGTAGAGGGGAAGTCAAGGACTGGGGGCCTGAGGTTAAAGCAGAAATCAGGGACAACTTCCTGAAGGAGGAGGCTGTGGGGCTGGACTGCCTGGACTGAGGGTGGCTGAGGTTCGGGCAGAAGGGCTTCCCTGGCAGCAGGTACAGCCCAGGGCAGAGGTAAGAGGTAGGAGTGAGGGTGCGGGGCTTGGAGAGCCCTAAAAGGAAGGTGCCCTCCAGGGTCCCATGCCTCTGGGACCTAGTTTCCCTGCACACAATGGCTCCCGGCTCAAATGCAGGACTCATCCAGAAGCTTGTCTCTCTGTGTCTCTACCCACACCCCCATCCAAGCCCTGTCTTGATGCCCCAGTGTCCCTGCAGGTCCTAGAGGCAGCAGCAGCTGGGATGGCTGCTCCAGCATCTCCAAGGGCTGCAGGGGGTCCCACCCCATGGGGGTCACCCTAGGCCTCTGACACCCCGCATCTGCATCTGCTCCTGCCTGCCCACCCATCCTCAGGCCACTCGCCATGGGCGGCTGCTTCTCCAAGCCCAAGCCAGGTACTTCTTGCTTCCATCCTCCCTCCCCCACCTCTCCTCCCTCCTCCCCTCCCCCCTGCAGTCTCCCCTCGAAGTAGGTCAGGCTAGGCAGGAGCCATGAGGCAGAATGTTAATACGCTGCAGGCAGGAGGGGGTGGGGGCCTGGAGCAGCTCTCCTGGCCCCCGTCCAGCAGGTGCCCCTCTGTTTTGGGGGCTTTGGGTGTTGGTGGTGGGAATAGCAGCAGGGTCCCTCTTGGAATAGGGAGAGGAGGGTTCCTCTTGTGGGGGTGGGGAGGGAGCTGTGTCCCTCACAGCTTGGGAAGTGGGCTTCTTCTTGGGAAGTGAGCCACTGTGTGACCTAGTGCATGCAAGTTACCTCACTGAGCCTCAGTGTGCCTCTCTACAAAATGGGCCTGACCGCGCTGACCTCTCAAAGTTGCTGTGACGATGCAGCAGGCAGGTCCCCGCCAACTTCGCTTCCAACCTGCTGTGATCTCAGGCTGCCTCCCCAGCTGTTCTGGGCACAACCTCCCCATTTGCAGCAGACGCCTCCACCCTGCCCAGCCTGAGCAGCTCCAGCCAGAAGTGGGGGCGTCCTGGGTGCTGGACAGGTCTGGGTCCGGCCCCTACTGGAGACCATGTGCGTGGGGAGGCAGTGGCCCCACTGTCCTTCCTGCCCCTCGCAACACCAGGGAGGCAGGGCTGCGCAGTCATGTCCCAGAGGGAGAAACCAAGGCCAGAGAGGCCTCTAGAGCCCAGCCAGTGCTGCCCTGCCTGGCCGGTGTCCCCAGCTCCCCTTACCCCCTGCCCGGTGGCTCTATTCCCTCGGCGCTCGCGAGCCTTGTCTCCTTTTCCTGGGTCTGAGGGAGAACTCGGGGGAGGGAGGAGAGCTGTGCCACCCCACCAGGCGGAGGGACCCACCGTCCTCCTTGCCTCAAAGCAGGCCTCAGACAAATGAGGTGCATGCCCCCCACCCTCGTAAGTGGCAGAAGGTTGCCAGCTGGCCCCATACTGGGCACCTGCGGGACTGTGGGCTGGCAGGAGGCTCTGGGAGAAGATGCCACCTGTAGTTTCTTTTAAAGGACCTCAAAGGGCTGGCCTGCCTGGGACAGGCAGCCCCAGGGCTTCTGGTGTGGGGGCTGGCCACTGTCACCGCCCCAGAGGCAGTGCTAAGAACATGGACTCTTTTTTTTTTTTAATTTTCTTTTTTTTTTGAGACAGAATCTCGCTTTGTTGCCCAGGCTAGAGCGAGTGCCGTGGTGTCAGCCTAGCTCACAGCAACCTCAAACTCCTGGGCTCAAGCCATCCTCCTGCCTCAGCCTCCCAAGTAGCTGGGACTACAGGCATGCGCCACCATGCCCGGCTCATTTTTTCTATATATATTAGTTGGCCAATTAATTTCTTTCTATTTTTTTTATAGTAGAGACGGGGTCTCACTCAGGCTGGTGTTGAACTCCTGACCCTGAGCAATCCGCCCGCTTCAGCCTCCCAGAGTGCCAGGATTACAGGCGTGAGCCACCGCGCCCGGCCCGGACTCTTTTTTTTAATTTTAATTTGATTTATATCTTTTCTTTTCTTTTCTTTTTTTTCTCCCCATATTGTCAGAATATTCTAGGTCAGAACATGGACTCTTGAGTCCAAATCCAGCCTTGCCCCTTCCTGGCTGTGTAGCACTGGGCAGGTGACTTCACCTCTCTGAGTCTCCATGTCTTCATGTGCGGCCTGGCACGCAGGAAGCACTTGCAGAACATTATCGTTCTGTGTGCTGGGCTGTCACCAAGGCTCCCCTGTGGGCGATAGCCAGAGGTACCCATCTGGGCAGGTCAGGGATGAGGCTCAGAGAACTTCAGGGAGTGAGAGCATTTGGGGCATGAAAGTTTGGGTCAGAGAGGCCCCAGGGAGACCAGAGCAAGCAGAAGATCTTTGTGCAAATTCTTCACTTTCTATCCACTCAATCCCTGGCTTCGTGCAAGCCAGCATATGCTCCCTGTGCTGTCCTCAGAGTTCCATGTTCTTGATGGGAAAACTCCAAGCCAGTCCCCTGCTGGGCCCAGAGCTAGGGGCATGTGCAACTCTCTTGGCATCTGGTCACCTGCCCTTTGTTAAGCCATGGGGCTACCTACCCTCCTCCCCGTGGCTGCCAGGAGGCTCAGCGCTAACTGATAAAACACTACTACCCAACTCCATCTGCGGAGCTTTTACTCTGGATTACATATAATTATCTCCTTCAACATTCGCTAAACCAAAGAGGTAGGCGCTGTTTTCTCTGTTTTATAAGGAAGAGATTGAAGACAAAGGGTCTTGTGGGCAGGTGGCAGTCATGGAGCTGGGGTTGATTGGTTCTCTGGGTGAGGAGAGACACCCCCACACGCACACACACCTTTCCACTGCTGCTCCTGACTTAATGCTTCTGTTAGACTGCCTTGGCTAGCATGCCTTGGAGCCTTCTGGAAGGAGCAGAGGATGAAAACAGCCTGGCTTGGCAGCTATCTGGCCCCCCACCAGGCTGTTCCTGTGAGCTCCCATAGCTCACATAGCTGGTGTCAGCTGAGCCCAAAGCATTTTCCTTTTTAATTCTTCCAAAAGCATTCTAACACCGTTACATAAAATGGAGAAAACGGAGGGGAAATACCCCACCCGTGACCACCCCCAACCTGTTGACACACAGCCTCAGTGTGGCTGCGTGCTTTGCACCCTGCCAGGCTGGAGTCAGGGACTGACCTTCAGCCCAGGCCCCTGCCAGGCCTGGGGCTGAGCTGGGGGCTGGGTAGAGAGGATGGGGAGGGGGATTAGCAGCTCGGGACCAGGCCGTGCAGGGGCCGGGTGTCCAGGGCAGGCAGCGGGTGAGCACGGGCACAGCCGGAGGTGTGCCGCAGTGGCAAGTCTGGCATCTTTGTTTCTGGGGTGTCAGGTCCGAGGGGGAGGGGCAGGGGAGCAGGTGCCGAGGTGAAGAGGCGGAGTGGAGCAAGCTGCAGGCTCTGCCGCTGGGGGTGGAGAGGGCAGCCCGGGAGGCCGGGTTATTGCTGATAAAAATTCTGTTTATTGTTCCCTTCTAATTAGAAAAATATCGCAGGCACATTGTACGGAATTTGGAAAATGTGGAAAAGTGTAAAGAGGAAAATGACAGTCCCCAGCTAACTCCCTTCTAGGCTAGGCCGCTCTGCAGGCGGAGGGACTGTCCTGTGTGTGGCCGCCGCTGGGCTGGGTGCCTGCGCCCCTCAGTGTGGGGTTCCCTCCCAGGGCCCCGACCCCAGCGCTTGGTCAGTCATGAATGATTCCCTACCTGGTGAGAAAAGCTATTGTAAAAAGTTGAAATTGTCTACATTTTATTGTTTTTTATTTTGAAAAAAATTCAACCCTATGGGAAAGTTGCAAGAATAGAACAAGGAACCTTCCATTTCCTGTCACTCAGATGCACCAGCTGGGAATGCCCGCATATCCACATGGAGTCACACCCCGTTGTCACCTGTTGTCCCTCAGAAGATCCCAGACTTAGGGTTCTTCCTCCACTAGATTCTGGCAGAAGCGGAGTTTCAGGGTGCAAAGAGCTCTGCTCTGTGCCCACCTCCTAATTTTGTCATTGCAGAAAGACTCGTGCAGAAAGTCATTCAAACAGGCCCAGAGCTCCTTCCCTCTGCTTCTTGCTCGTTTTAAGGCTTTAAGGCTGGTTGCGGGGGGCAGGGGCAGTTCTGGGCAGGTCTGAGCCCCAGGAGCTGGGGGCTCATGGTGCCGCCACCCACAGTGGAGCTCAAGATCGAAGTGGTGCTGCCCGAGAAGGAGCGGGGCAAGGAGGAGCTGCTGGCCAGCGGGAAGGGCAGCCCCCGGGCCTACCAGGGCAACGGCACGGCCCGCCACTTCCACGCCGAGGAGCGCCTGCCCACTCCTCACCCCTACCCTGGCGCCCAGGACTGTGTGGAGGCTGCCGTCTGCCACGTCAAGGACCTGGAGAATGGCCAGTGGGTGCTGGGCTTGGGAGGGGATCAGAGGGCCCACGGTGGGAGGGAAGGTACAGGCATGGACGGGGCAGCTGCCGGGGCCCGGAAGGGGCTAGACCGGCTGCTCCTTGGACGCTGCCTTTGTGGCCTCTGCCGGTCTGGGCCTGCTCCCCGGAAGGCTGGCCCCGGGAGGGGCGCCCACAGGAGGGCGTGCCTGGCCCCTGGCCTGACCTCTCAGCGCAGCTGCTCCCCAGGATGCGGGAAGTGGAGCTGGGCTGGGGGAAGGCGTTGCTGGTGAAGGACAGCGGGGAATTCCACGCGCTGGGCCACAAGTGTCCGCACTACGGCGCACCCCTGGTGAAAGGTGAGATGTCCGGGGTGCGTGCGGGTGGCAGGGGTGACCCCCAGGCCCCAGGCCAGGTTGGCTCCTCCCTGGGCTTCAGGGTCCTCATCTATTAGTGGGGTCTCCTGGGCTGTGGGGAGGGGCTCCCAGGTGCTGGGACACAGGAACCGTGCTGGTGGCCCCAGCCTAGCCCCTCCCACTCCCAGGTGTGCTGTCCCGTGGCCGAGTGCGCTGCCCCTGGCATGGTGCCTGCTTCAACATCAGCACCGGGGACTTGGAGGACTTCCCGGGCCTGGACAGTCTGCACAAGTTCCAGGTGGGGCCAGGATGCGGCGGGTGGGAGCCTGGGGGCACGGGGCTAGGGCTGGTCCTGAGCGGTACAGCCCTTTCAGGTGAAGATTGAGAAGGAAAAGGTGTACGTCCGGGCCAGCAAACAGGTGAGGGGATGGCTTGGGGCTCGGGCAGGAAGGACAGATGGGGAAGGCAAGGCATCTTGGCCCAGAGAATGGCATGTGCAAAGGCCCTGTGGTAGGAGGGAGCCTGGCACATGTGTCTCAGGGGCAGAGTGAGGGGCTGTGTGGTGGGCATGAGGCTGTGCTGGTCTTGCCCAGTGGAATGACGGCTCACGATGGATGGCCACAACCCTAGCTCCCAGCTGGCCCCCACCCTCCCACCACCCCCAGGCCCTGCAGCTGCAGCGAAGGACCAAGGTGATGGCCAAGTGCATCTCTCCAAGTGCTGGGCACAGTGGCAGCACCAATGTGCTCATTGTGGGTGCAGGTTGGTGGCGGGGTATTAGGGGCAGGGAGGGAGGGGGAGTGGAGAGGAGTGGTCCCTGGCCCACAGCCCCCTCTCAGGTGCAGCTGGCCTGGTGTGTGCGGAGACTCTGCGGCAGGAGGGCTTCTCGGACCGGATCGTCTTGTGCACGCTGGACCGGCACCTCCCCTATGACCGACCCAAGCTCAGCAAGGTGGGGTGTCGGGCAAGTGGGGACCCTGTCCCTCTGGGTCCCAGTCAGGCCCATGGGAAGGCTTGCTTGTCACCCCACAGGTGACAAGCTCTCTCTGCTTATGCCAGGCCGTCTGTGGTGCCCCTAAAAGATCTGGGTCTGTTGAGTTCTGTCCTGCAGCCCCTGTGTGGCCGGGGCTGGGCCCACGCTCCCTGGGTCCTGTGTGCTCGGCTGTGGCATGGGACAGTGGCCACCTGGCCCTGTCTCAGGCTGGCTGTCTCCTACAGTCCCTGGACGCACAGCCCGAGCAGCTGGCCCTGAGGCCCAAGGAGTTCTTCCGAGCCTATGGCATCGAGGTGCTCACTGAGGCCCAGGTACAGGGTCAAGGTTGGGAAACAGGCTGCGGGGAAGGGTTGATGGAAGCTGTGTGAGCCCCTAGGGTGTGGGGGTGATCAGAGCCGCAGGGTGGGGAGACGGATGATCAGGGATGGGACAGGAGAGGGAGAGCCAGATGGGACTTGGGAGGGTAAGGAGGGCTTTGAGGGGAAGGTGATGTCTGAAGCTTAAGGAATGAAGCCCAGCCTGGGTACAGTGGCTCACGCCTGTAATCCTAGCACTCTGGGAGGCCAAGGTGGCAGGATTGCTTGAGCTCAGGAGTTCAAGACCAGCCTGAGCAAGAGCAAGAGCCCATCTCTACAAAAAATAGAAAAAATTAGCCAGGCTAATTTGGTGTGTACCTGTAGTCCCAGCTACTAGGGAGGCTGAGGCAGGAGGATGGCTTGAGCCCAGGAGTTTGAGGTTGCTGTAAGCTGTGATGATGCCACTGCACTCTAGCCAGGATGACAGAGGGAGACTCTGCCTCGAAACAAACAAAAAAAAAGACTAAGGCCCAAGTGGAAGGAGCAGCCCCCGTGGGAGCTGCTCGAGGGTCTGGCTGGGCTCCTTGAGCGTTGCAGGCCCGGAGTGGGTGGTAAGGCCCAGATCTGTGCCCAGGCCCATGGCTTGCCTGGCCGGCGTTGCAGGTGGTCACAGTGGATGTGAGAAACAAGAAGGTCGTGTTCAAAGATGGCTTCAAGCTGGAATACAGCAAGCTGCTGCTGGCGCCGGGGAGCAGGTAGGAGGCTGTCTCCCCGCTGCCCTCCGTTGGATTCGGCCGGGACGGGAGGGCTGGGCTGCGGGAGGCCCTCGTTGACCCGCTGTGTCTCAGCCCTAAGACCCTGAGCTGCAAAGGCAAAGAGGTGGAGAACGTGTTCGCCATCCGGACGCCAGAGGACGCCAATCGCGTGGTGAGACTGGCCCGAGGCCGCAATGTGGTCATCGTGGGAGCCGGCTTCCTGGGTGAGCGGCCGGGCGCTGGGGGTGCCGGGGAGCGGTCAGGTCATCACGGCCTGTCCCGGGCGGCACTGGCCCTGCGAGGTGCAGGATGCCAGCCTGCCGCGCCTGCCCCCGCCCCAGGGATGGAGGTGGCCGCTTACCTGACGGAGAAGGCCCACTCGGTGTCCGTGGTGGAGCTGGAGGACACGCCCTTCAGGAGGTTCCTGGGGCAGCGTGTGGGCCGAGCCCTGATGAAGGTGAGCCCAGCCCCGCACCTGGCCCTTGGAGCCCGGGTGTGGCCCAGGCCTGGGCCGGGCTCTCACGCACCGGCTGCCCGCCCGCCCCACCAGATGTTCGAGAACAACCGGGTGAAGTTCTACATGCAGACAGAGGTGTCGGAGCTGCGGGCCCAGGAGGGACAGGTGGGCCTTCTCCTCGCCGCCTGCCGCGTGCCGTCCCTCTGGCCTGAGCCCGGCGCCGGGCCCACCCGCTCACGCCCACTCCCCACAGCTGAAGGAGGTCGTGCTGAAGAGCAGCAAGGTCGTGCGGGCTGACGTCTGCGTGGTGGGCATTGGTGAGTGCGTGGGCGGCCGGCATGGATCAGCAGGGCCCCCTGGACACACTCGCAAGTGACCGTGGGCTCGCCCTCCCCTCCCCAAGTCCCAGTTTCCATGTCTGTAAAATGGGGACCCCACTTCACAGGGCTGCTGGGGAAGGCGTGTCCCAGGCTTCGCCCAGCCTGGCGCGGGGGACACATCCAGTGAGTGGTGCCCACAATGCTCAGCTCCCCGCCCTGCCCCGTGTGGGCCGCGGGCCGCAGGCCAGCCTCTAACTGGTTCCTGCCCCAGCTGAGGTGCCAGTCGGAGGGGGTGCAAAGCTGGGGGTTGAGGTGTGGCGTGCCGACCCCCACCTGGGGGCTTCATGGAGTGCTTCTTAGAGGAGGCGATACCTGAGGCCTGATGGGAGGCCCAGCGGTCTGCAGGGATCCAGGCAGAGGGGACAGGATGCACAAAGGCCCCAGGGTGGGCACCTGTGGACGTCAGCCTGGGGCTGGTGCAGGGAGTGAGGGACTGGGGCGTGGACAGCATGGCGGAGGGAGATGGGCGAGGTTGGGGAGTGGACACAGGGCCTGTCCTGTCAGGCGCGGTGCCCGCCACGGGCTTCCTGAGGCAGAGCGGCATCGGTCTGGATTCCCGAGGCTTCATCCCCGTCAACAAGGTGGGGCTGGGCAGGGAGGGTGGGGTGCTGGGCTGGGAGTGGCGGGAGGTCTAGGTCAGGGCCCCTGTCCCCCCCTAGAGCCCTGGACCTCCTCCGACAGATGATGCAGACCAACATCCCAGGTGTGTTCGCGGCTGGCGATGCTGTCACCTTCCCCCTTGCCTGGAGGAACAATCGGAAAGTGAACATCCCTCACTGGCAGATGGCTCATGCCCAGGGTATGGCTAACCCGAAGACAAGTAGGGGGTGGGAGACTTTCCCAGGCTCTCCCCCAGGCCCAATCCTCAGTTGCTGGCCTTGGGTTCTGGATGCTGTGTTAGGCAGTGAAGAACTCTGGTGGCCGGTATGGCCAGCCTCATCCAGGTGATCAAGCCAGTGCACAGAGCGAGCCCTGTGGGCAATCTACAGAGATCTTCCTTCAGTGCCCTCTGGACACTCCATCTAGCCAGCCACAGACCCCCAACCCCAGGTGTCCTTCCACTCTAGTCTTTCCTTTCCTTTGTCCTAAAGGACATGCTCTGCAGAATTCCTGACCAAACTGTTCATCACCCTGGGGAGGGAGAAGGATTTAGTCAACTTCCAACTTAATGCCTCTGTCTCCTTTGGGCCACTTGACCATCTCTGTGAACTAAGTTGCCTTGTGCAGGTCCCTGGAGGCAGCCAACTAGGCCTGGAGACCCGGCTCAGTGGGGACATTGTGCTTTCCAAGGACTAGCTTTTCCCTCCTCACATTTGGTGGCCACCAAGTCCCCCAAGCCTTACCCACTGTGCACACCTGGTCCGGGCCCCTAAGCTGCAGGTGCCAGCAAATTAGCGTCCTAGAGAGGAATGCCAGACTCCCTGCCTGGGGCAAAGGACTTCTCCTCTGCACCCACCTCCCCAAGGGTCTGCTGCTTGAAACCCCACTCCTGGTACCAATGTCTTTTCAAGTTCAAGGACTAAAGGACTAGGTTGTAAGGAACCCAAGGCTATTCATCAGGCAAGTACAGCTAGGATTTAACTGGGAGAGTCTGGGGGACTCTGGTGTACACACAAACACTGGTCAAATGGGGCCTCCCAGAAACTGAGAGGTCACCTATACTGTCCTCTATGGGGCCCTGTGTCATCTGTGCATCCCTGGGCTTTTATGCCCCATTCTCCTCCCTCTCCAGACCTGATGTATCTGATTACTTGTATTTATGCACAGCTGGAAATGGCCGGCTAGCTCCCCAGCCCCAAGAAGTAGACCTTCCAGAGGCAGGACAGTTTCTCCAGGGAGGCAGTCTAAGTGGCCAGCTTTGAGCCAGGTGTCCCCTCTGCACCAGTCAGCTCCACCTGCAGGTGGGCTGAGAGCTGGGAAATGATGCCTCTTGACCTCTGGGGAGGCCAGGAGGAGTAGCCACGCATGTCAGGAGTCCCCAGAGCTCCGGGGGCAGGCAGTGTGGGGTGGTGAGGGCAAGAAGCGGGGCTCTCACGGCCCTGGGTCTGGCAGGGCGCGTGGCGGCCCAGAACATGCTGGCGCAGGAGGCGGAGATCAGCACCGTGCCCTACCTGTGGACGGCCATGTTCGGGAAGAGCCTGCGCTACACGGGTAACCCCTGGAGCCTCGGAAGGGGGCGGGGTCGAAGAGAGCGTTTAGGGCGGGGCTTGGATGGTAGGGCGGAGCTGTGGGGATCCTGGGGGCGGGGCTAGGGACTACCCGAAGGAACTTGGTTGCTGGGGGCGGGGCGGGGGCGGTGTCCAGGGCGGAGTTAGGAGGGCACATGGCGCAGACCTTCCCCGGCTCACGGCTCACGGGTGCCACCCGCCTGTCCCGCCCACAGGCTACGGAGAAGGCTTCGACGACGTCATCATCCAGGGGGATCTGGAGGAGCTGAAGTTTGTGGCTTTTTACACCAAGTGAGAGCAACGGGGTGCAGCGGGGGCTCGAAGGGGCGGGAGTTGGGTGGGAAAGGAGGACTCCTACCAGACTGGAGCCCAGCCCTGATCCCTGAAGCAGGGAGGATCTAGTGCTCAGGGCATTCCTGTTGTCCTGGGCAAGATCCCTCCCCGGCCCCAGGTGGACAGGAATGTGTCAGGGTCTTTAAGAAGGGGCTTCTGCCAGGCAGTCTTCAGGTTCGACCACCCTATCCCTGCAGAGGCGACGAGGTGATCGCTGTGGCCAGCATGAATTACGATCCCATCGTGTCCAAGGTGGCTGAGGTGCTGGCCTCTGGCCGTGCCATCCGGAAGCGGGAGGTGGAGTGAGTGTGGGCATGGGAGGCCTGGGGGTGGTGGACATTCCTTGGAGTACCAGCTCAAGCTGCCCAGGCAGACAACTGCCCCCACCGCCCTCCAGGGCCCTTCCCGTACCCTCGGTACCCATCAATCTGAGGCTCTCAAGGCTACAGGGAAGCATGGGGCAAGGATTCCAGTTTGAGAGCGGGCTGGCTCTATGTGCTCACAGTGGACAGAAGGGAAGGGGCTTGTGCGCCAGTGCAGGACCAGTGCTGTGGGGAGGGGTCAAGGCCCACTGCTTGGACAATCACCAAGCCTGGGACACTCAACTGGATGTGGTTGTGCTAAGCCTGGCAGAAGCTAGGTGGGGAAACACAGCTCATGATGACGCTGGGAATGCCCTAGAGATGTGGGATGGTTCTGGGGGGAATGGATGCCAGCCATTACCTTCCTTCTGGCGTGGTGCCAATGAGAGTCACCTGTGGGAAAGCCACTGGGGGAGTGGAGGCCATGAGACAGAGGTAGGCTTCAGGCTGGAAACAAGGGAGGACCAAGAGAGGACATGATAAATGACGTGCTCTCTCCCTGGCCTTCTCTTTCTCTTGCCTTCGCAAAGGCTGTTTGTGCTGCACAGCAAGTACGTGTATCCTCTGTCCTTCCTGTTGACTGTTCTGAGCCATTCCCACCTCAGCCCAGAGCTCCCACCCAATGGTCTACCTCCATCTGCCTAAGCACACATCCCTGCTGGGCACCAGCACCTGGTATAGAGCAGGCCCCCTGCTGTCCTCAAGGGCCAGCTGTTCATGGTGCCCAGAGTAGGGAACCTGCTCTCTTCCTCTGCCCTGACCCCTCCTTCCCTCATTCCTGCAGGACTGGAGACATGTCTTGGCTCACAGGGAAAGGATCCTGAGCTCAAATGCAGTGGACTTGGGCAGGCACAGTGGGGTCCCAGGGACAGAGGCCAAGGCCTGGGGGCAGGTGCCAATCTCCAATTTCCCAGGATCCCCCAGGGCAGAACCTGAGCCCTCACAGTGCTTGCCTTCCATCGCCTGGCTCCCCTGCAGGGAGGCATCTGCTGTCTCCAGAAGACATTCACCTCCCAAGGCCACTGCTGCCACTGATAGTTGGCACTGGAGGCAGGACAGGCCCTGCCTCTTCTCCCTCTGTTGGGACGGTCTCCTGCAGGACCTTGCAACATGTTAGACATCTTAAAATTAAAACGCATACATTTGCAGATCTGTGTGACTCCCAGTGTAATTGGTCATGAAGGAGAGAGCAGACCACGGGGAAAAACGGCACAGTCTCAGGGTGCTAAGTGCCACATTAAGGAAATTTGACATGTGAGCGCCCAGAGGAGGTAGCAACTAATTCTGCCCTTCTCCCCCCATTCCTGCAGGGTCAGGACAAGTTTTTCCAGCAAGTGCCTTTGGATCTGAATTTTGAAGGAAGGGCACTCCAGGTAGAAGGGACAGCCCCTGCAAAGGGCTTGAGACAGGAAATACGTCTTCAATGGAAGAGGCAGCTCATACTTGACACTTTGGGGGCATTTGCCCACTTAGGGCTGTAGGAGCTATGTCCTTCAACAAACCCTATGCTTCTCACAGCAGCCGGAGCTTTCTGAATCCCCATTTCGCAGGTGAAGCAGCTGAGGCTCTGCTATTAAGTAGGAATGAGAATCCAGAGGCTTCGGGCCAGGCTGCCTCCCATTCAATAACAACGCCAAGGCTGGGCGCGGTGGCTCACGCCTGTAATCCTAGCACTCTGGGAGGCCGAGGCTGGCGGATTGCTGGAGGTCAGTTCAAAACCAGCCTGAGCAAGAGAGAGACCCGTCTCTACTATAAATAGAAAGAAATTAATTGGCCAACTAATATATATATAGAAAAAATTAGGCGGGCATGGTGGCATATGCCTGTAGTCCCAGCTACTCGGGAGGCTGAGGCAGGAGGATCGCTTGAGCCCAGGACATTGAGGTTGCTGTGAGCTAGGCTGATGCCATGGCACTCACTCTAGCCTGGGCAACACAGCGAGACTCTGTCTCAAAAAAAAACAAAACATATATATATAATAACAAATAACAACGCCAAGAGGAGAAGGGGTTGGCGGGGGGCCAAGCCTGGGGGCGCAAGCAGGCAAGGGATAGTTGAGCCGCCGGCAGAGTCCGCTGCAAGCCCGGAACCTTCTACCTGGGGTCCGGAGAGCCGCGGACAATCCAAGACAGAGCCACGCGCAGACGCACTGCATGCCGGGCCACCAAGGAGGGTCTTCGGGTAGTGTGGGCGTGGCAGGCCCCAAGGAAGAGCCGTCTCGACTGGGTTGGGGACAGGACGCCACATTCACTGGAATGGATAACCAGGCGCCGGTACCTCGCCCCAAATGCTCCCCAGAAGGTTACATGTTCGCTGCCGGGCGGCAGCCAAGCTACGCGCTCGCCCACAGTGTCAGAACGAGCGCTAAACTTGCCGGGAAGTCCCAGGGGGCGTAAGTGCGGCGCCGGCCGGAAGTGCTGCGCCGTCGGCGCAGGGCTCGCCGGGAAATGTAGTCCCTGCGAGCGGCCCGGGGCGGTGGCCGCAAATTCTGCGGCCCTGGCGGCTGATCTGGCGTGGACCCGGGATGGCTGGACCTGGCGGCTCCGGGGGCCCGATCGGGGCCGGGGCCCTGGCAGGTGGCGCGCGGTCCAAGGTAGCCCCCAGCGTGGATTTTGACCACAGCTGCTCGGACAGCGTCGAGTACCTGACCCTCAACTTCGGGCCCTTCGAAACGGTGCATCGCTGGCGGCGCCTCCCGCCCTGCGACGAGTTCGTGGGTGCCCGGTACGGTGGGCTTCGGGGGCGCCTGAGGGCGGGGGTGGGTCTGAAGGTGTCCTAGGCGGAGCCCAGGGGCGAGGCCGGGGCGTGGTGTCCTGGGGTGGAATCTGGTCAGGGGGGGCGGTGATGCTGCCAGGATGGTGTCGGGGTAGGGGGAGGACTTCCGAGAGGGAACCCGGTCCCAGAGCTGGACGACCTGGGGTAGGGTGCTAGAGCTAAGTTGTGTTTGTGGGTATTGGGCTGGGGGCCCTGGTGTTCTGTGGTTGGGTGAGGAGTCCAGAGAGTCTTGGGGCAGTGTGAGGTGTTCCCGCTTGCAAGGTCCTGTGGGGATGCCGGTGAAATTTAGGGGTTTCCATACATCTCAGCAGTGGAGAGGTGTTATCTAAATTGTGCGGCAGCTCTTGTTCTTGGTCCCCTTCCTTGGGTGCCCCCCAGAAGAGTCTTGTCCTCACTGCCCTCCACCCCTTCTTTTTTTCCAGGCGCAGCAAGCACACAGTGGTGGCCTATAAAGATGCCATCTATGTCTTTGGTGGAGACAATGGGTGAGTGAGTGAGCAGCAGGGAGTTTGGACCAGGTAGGGAGAAGCATTGTGGTCAGGGGCTGGGCCTGTGCAGTTCCATGACTGTCCTTTCAGGTATTAGCTAATCTCTCTAAGCCTCAGTTTCCCCATCTGTGAGTTTCCCTGCACTCACCTCCCTGGTCGTGGTGAGGGTTAAATGAGATCCTACACAAAAGGTCCCCAGCACAGCATCCAGCGGGCAGCACATGCTCAGTGTGTGGAAATGTCCCCCTTGTTCTGTGTGATTAGACACAGCCTTGAGAGAAACACATCCAGCCCTGCTGCCAGCCCTGCCCGGCACGTTTCTTTCCCTGCACTTCTCCCCAGGCCTCACCCACAGGCTCACTTTGCAGCTGAAAGATATGGAGGACACAGTTTTTATTTCATGCGTTTTTCACTTTTTGTGACAGTTTTCTCCTGTTGCTATAAACTCCTGGCAAACAACCTTCCTGACAACTGGCTGATGTTCTGTTGGTGGACACACCTCCGTTCACATGGCCGGTTTCTCTGTGTTGAGGGTAGAGTGCTTGCACATGACCAGTTGTGCCCAAGGGTCCTAGCCCTGCCTCTTAGACCCAGCACCTGGCCTGAAGCCCAGGAAGGGTTGGCCTCCTGGTGGCCCTGCAGCCTTGGTCCTGCAGGACTCCATGTTATGCTTATGGGGCGATAGTGGGGTGGTACTGGACCCCACAAGGACCTGCAGACTAGGAAGAAGGGCCTATTTGGGCATAGTCCCTGGCTTCTAGCCTCTCTCCTCCACAGTCTGTTTCCTCAAGAGCAGCCAGAAGGATCCACGTTCAAGTGCAAGTCAGAGCGTGTTCCTCCCAGGCTCATGTCTTGTGCTGTCTCCCCACCTCTCTGGGTCAAAGCTCAAGTCCTCATGACAGGCCCGGAGGCACTGCCCTCTGCTTTCGGTCCCTGGCTGCACTGAGGCCACACTGGCTGCAGGCTACCTTTGGATTATACCAAGCGCCCTCCTGCTCAGGCCCTTACACCACCAGCTGTTCCCTCCTGCCCTACTTCCTGTCCCTTCTCTGCCACTCCTTGTGAGGCCTTCTCTGACTACCTGGATAGTCTGGTGACCATCCCCTCCCTCCCTCTCACGGTCTCCATTTGCCCCGGTAGCACACAAATGTCAGATATTATCCTTCTCCTCTAAGGCAAAGTATGCACTCCTTTCGCCACTGTATCTTAGCACCCAGATGACTTTGTGTTTGTTGGATGAAGGGATGAAGTAAGGACGAGTGTCCACCACAGACAATTACTGGAACCTTAATGAGAATCCCCCAAACCAGAAAAGGCCTTGTGTCCAGCACTGGACAGTGGGTGGGACATGGGGGACCTCTGTCCTCAGGAGTGTCCAGTAGCAGGTAGCGTTTGTGTGACAACTCTATGGCAATAAGAAGAAACATTTTTGCTACATTGTGACACTAAGAAAAGAATACAAACTTGTCTAACTCTAGTTACAACTTCCTGAAGACCCAGTACAAAGAAAGGGCCTTCTGCCATGGTGGTGTGAGGGAGGAATCACATCCCCTCACCAGCTTCCAGGTTCCTGGTTTCCTAGCTTCATGGCCTCAGACCCAGCGTTTCTCTCCCAGGCTGTTTTGCTGTCTGTAAAATAGCGGTGGCTGGGCTCCTGTCCAATTGCTCTTCGTCCCTCATAGGGACAAGGAGATTCTGGTCATGTGAGGGTACAATGGCCAGTGGATTTGTTTTCCATTTTATTGTATCTTTAACACCGTTGTTACGTTGGTTTTGCAATAAAGAAGTGGCAGGAAGACCTGAGAGAAGTGAAGGGCCTCCCTGAGGTGTGGGCACGCGTCTGCATCGCGGTGGTGCAGCCTCACGGGAGGGCGCTGAAATGTGCAAATAGGAGTTTTGGGGTGAGGGCTAAGTGTGGCCTTTGGGCTGTTTCATGCCCTCAGTCAGCTGCCGAGTGGACTCCCGGTGGCCAAGATCATGCTTTGGTCCTGACCCCAGGCAGGCCAGTGGCTGCCTGCGTGGCAATGCTAGTACCCACATCAGCTGGGGAGCCTCCTTCATGGTCACCGTTCTTGTCCCTTGGTTGCCCCACTGATGGTTGTCAGTGGCCCCACACCCCAGCTGCATGCAGTGCCCGTCCCCAGGGTCCTGGTGGAGCAACGTCCTGCACAGCAGACCTGACCAAGGCCACCTCCCCTCTCTCGCTGCCTTTCAGAAAGACGATGCTTAACGACCTGCTGCGCTTCGACGTGAAGGACTGTTCCTGGTGCAGGTGGGTGGCTCCATGCTCCATGGTCCTGCCCGTCCTCCTGGAATATGGTGCCGAGTCCCGGTTGCCAGCACAGTCACTCTCATCATGCAAAGCTAGAGAGAAGCTTCCAAGAGGAGGCAGCCACGGCTCCTGGGATGCCACGGCCAGAGCCACTGTTTTTCTCCATCTCCAGGGTTCCTTTTTCAGTTCACGATTGCAGTTGATTATTCTGAACCTATTAATTAAGATCTGTTTGGTGCATTTGCAGGTCTCTTAATTCTGCCCCAGGAAGGCCCTTCAGTCACAGACCATCTCCCAGGCCAGGGGCTGCTGTCAGATCTGACCTGGGGGTGCCGTTGGCAGATGGGTCCTTCCAGGACCAACTGTGCTGGGGTGGGTGCTGCCCAGGGTTGGCAGCAGTGCTTCCTGTCCCTCCCTGCCCCACAGGGCCCATCTTCTGCACAGGCAGTGGGCAGCATCAAGCCCTGGCCTCCCTCCCACAGGTGCCCTCCCCAGCCACGTGGCCTTGGGCGAGACACTTGCCTCCGCTGAGCACTGCGTGCTCGCACCCATCTGCAGCAGCCCAGCCCTGCCTTAGAACAGCTCACGGCTGAAGGGGAGAAGTGGCTCCCGGATTGGGAGGCAGTGGGCTTCCTCCTGAGCTTTGCCGTCTGCTCTTGCAGGAGCACAGGTCCCCTGAGCCGCTCATGGAGCCGAGCTCTGCTTGTGTGTGGCCCCCTGGGTCCCCAGCAAGCTGTGTGTGTGGCCACCCGCCAGAGGAAGGCTCAGGAGCTCAAGGGACTGCCCAGCACCCACAGCCACCGAGCCTGGCCCGCAGGGTGGCTCTGCCCTGTGCCACCACCACTGGCATGGGTGTGGCTACAGCAATTGCTGCTGTTCTCCTTGCGCTTGGTTTTATGATGCAGCTAATAGTTACAGATTCATTTTAAAAATCACTCTGAAGACTTTACAATTCTTTGCAAAATTGATTAAGCATAAAAGTGGGAAAAGGAGCCAGCCCCTGGTAAGCACTGTAAATGGGTTTTAATTCAGTGAATGAAAGTTACAGATGCCATGCTGCAGGACACTGTGCAGCTGCTGGGGGCGTGTGTCCATGATCCTAGAGTGGTGTGCGGGCCTGGTCACATTCCACTGTTTAATCGAAAGCCAGTTCTGTAATATCTGCCACTGGTTCCGTGTGAAGAAATTACGCGTAGGGGAGGTGTGCAGGGAAGACCTGTGTTGCAGACAGTGGTTTTGGGGCAATGGGACTATGTGTGAGTTTTAGTGCCTATTGTCTTGTCTTTTCCTTATTGGTAGTTTTTTTTAAGTTTCTATAATGAGACAGGTATCAGCTTCAAAATACAAAAGCAAAGGGAAGCATGGGGTGGCAGGACCGCCACCCCCCCGCTGGCCCTCACCACCCCTGTGCCTGCCCCAGGGCCTTCACCACCGGGACTCCGCCGGCGCCCCGCTACCACCACTCGGCTGTTGTCTATGGGAGCAGCATGTTCGTCTTCGGTGAGCAGCCTGTCACCCCTTGGGCACTGTGCCCCCTCCTGGGCCTGTGGAATCCCTGGCCTCCTGCCACGTGTGGGGGTCACGGACTCAGCTGTGCTTGGCAGGGCCTCTCTGCCACCCCCCAGCTTTGTCTACCAGTCCTCTGAGCTCTGCACTGGGTCAGACCCCTTTATCCCTGACTGTCCTGAGCTCCTGGGGTTGGGCGTCTGCCCTGTGACTGGGCTGGAGCAGGAAGCAGCGTCGCCAGAGCTGGCATGGAAGCAGGTAGCCGCGTCTCTGGGGCTGTGAAGGAGCCCCGGCTTGTGCATTGTGGATGGGGCTGGATGCTGCCTCGCCTCCCGGGGTTCGAAAACTTAAATGCTGCCTTTGAGCGTAACAGCTTCTCACTCTCTTTACCCAGGAGGCTACACTGGGGACATTTATTCCAATTCTAATTTGAAGAATAAAAATGACCTGTTTGAATACAAGTTTGCGACTGGCCAGTGGACGGAGTGGAAAATTGAAGGACGGTGAGAGACTCTGCTGAAACCCTGGGGACCAGGCGGGGTCCCTGGGGGCAGCCCGGGATCTGCCCCCTGTGGCGTGGCGGATGAGGAGCCCGAGGGCACGCAGCCCGGGGAGCTGGTGATGATGCCCAGCTGTCAGGCTCCCTCCTTGCTGGAGAGACCCGGATGTACTGCTCATGGGCGCAGCTCGGGTCTGGCTTGGCTGGCACCTCCTCTGATATTTTGGTGGCTACAGGGAGAGGACTCTGTGCCTGTGTGGGTGTCTGAACTCCTCTTCCAGCGGCTGCCTGCGCCTTACACCTCTGGTGCTGGTGCTTTTTCCCAGTGCCCCAGTGGGAGCCCTCGAGCCCCAGCGCCAGGCGGACGTGGCCATGCAGTCCAGCCATGGCCTCTACAGTGGCTGCGTGGGGCTGGGAGGCTCGGGGCTGTGCTGGCGGCCTCAGTCCTCACTTCCCCTTCATGCGTCAGGCTGCCAGTTGCCAGATCAGCCCACGGGGCCACCGTGTACAGTGACAAGCTGTGGATCTTTGCCGGCTATGACGGCAATGCCAGGTAGGTGGTGGCCCGGCCCATGCGCTCACCTCCGAGGGTATCAAGGAGCAGAGTGGGCCTTCCTGGCACTCAGGACTCAGAGCGCCACTCAGTCTGGGGGTTTCTCTGGAGGCGTGTGGGGGGAAGGGGAAGCGGGAGGTGAGGGCCACTGGGTGGAGCCCCCTGACCTGACCTCGTGGCCCCTTGCATTGCTCGAATGTGGAGCCTCAGGGCCGCAGGCAGGAGTCACGCTGAGGGGCCAGGTGGGCGGTGGGTGGGTGGCCCCAGGGCCCCAGCTCTTCCCTAGGTCTTAGGCGTGTTCTGCTTTCATTCAGAAAATTGGCTTGATGTGTTTTTCTGAATCCAAAAGTAGCATGTGCTAGTTCCCCAAAGCTAGCATCACAGAGACTCCTAACACCGCAGTGGTGGAAGTGGTGTCCATGGTATCTGTGGTCCTCTTCCCACCCAGGGGGACTCTGAGTGAGGGGCTGGCCCTGCCACTCTGCCCAGATGCCGTGCCTGGGTGGGTGGGGGGCCTGGCACAGTCCCCCCCAACCCCTGAAGCTCCCACTTCATAACTGCACAATGTCCCCTAACCCACATGGCAGGCTGTTCTTCCCTTGGAGCCATCCCTTCCAGCCCAGGACCAGGCTCACCCTGACAGCCAAGAGGTCCTGACCCCTCAACCTCTCTGTCCCTTTTTTAAATAATTTTTTTTACATGTTGAGAGAAACTTCTCTAGTAATAAACTATAGAAATGATCTCTGAAAGTATGGTGTTTCCTCACCTCATGCAGGTTGAACGACATGTGGACAATCGGCCTCCGGGACCGGGAGCTCACCTGCTGGGAGGAGGTGCGGGGCACGGGGAGCCGGGTGGGGGCAGAGGCTGCTTTCTCCCCCGAGCCTCACTGTCCCACTGACCTCCTGGCTCACCCTCATGACTGATTCCAGCAGTGGCTGCATAGTGACTAAAGTCTCCTCACCTCAGACAGGCAGAGCGCCACGTGCGAGGCATGCGTTTTTTTTTTGTTGTTGTTTTTGAGATAGAGTCTCACTTTGTTGCTGAGGCCAGAGTGCCGTGGCATCAGCCTCACTCACAGCAACCTTGAACTCCTGGGCTCAAGTGATCCTGCTGCCTCAGCCTCCCGAGTAGCTGGGACTACAGGCATGCACCACCATGCCCGGCTAATTTTTTCTATATATTTTAGTTGGCCAATTAATTTCTTTCTATTTTTAGTAGAGACGGGGTCTCGCTCTTGCTCAGGCTGGTTTCGAACTCCTGAGCTCAAATGATCCTCCCGCCTCAGCCTCCCAGAGTGCTAGGATTACAGGCGTGAGCCTCCGTGCCTGGCCAAGGCATGTGGCTGTGGTCTAATCTACCCTCATTTCAATGTAGTGAGGGCAACATGCTGACCACACCCTGCTCACTGGGGTTCCCAGGCATTCTTGCCCCTGGAGATATGTCTGATTTTGGCCCCTGATGATTTCAGCCCCAACTGTTTGAAACTGGGCCCTTTTCGGTGGATAAGATAGAGCTATAAGATGTTCTTATAAAAAAAGAATACTGAAGCCTTATCCACGGAAGTTTCAAGAATGCATGTGAGGGCCGGGCGCAGTGGCTTACGCCTGTAATCCTAGCACTCTGGGAGGCCAGGGCAGGTGGATTGCTCGAGGTCAGGAGTTCAAAACCAGCCTGAGCAAGAGTGAGACCCCATCTCTACTATAAATAGAAAGAAATTAATTGGCCAACTAACACATATAGAAAAAATTAGCCGGGCATGGTGGCGCATGCCTGTAGTCCCAGCTACTCGGGAGGCTGAGGTAGGAGGATCGCTTGAGCCCAGGAGTTTGAGGTTGCTGTGAGCTAGGCTGATGCCACGGCACTCACTCTAGCCTGGGCAACACAGCGAGACTCTGTCTCAAAAAAAAAAAAAAAAAAAGAATACATGTGAGGCCGATTATGGTGGCTCAGGCCTGTAATCCTAGCACTGGGAGGCCAAGGCAGGAGGATCGCTTGAGCTCAGGTGTTCGAAACCAGCCTGAGCAAGAGTGAGACCCTGTCTCTACTACAAATAGAAAAATTAGCCAGGTGTGGTGGCACCTATAGTCCTAGCTACTTGGGAGGCCGAGGCAGGAGGATTGCTTGAGCCCAGGAGTTGGAGGCTGCAGTGAGCTATGATGAGGCCACTCCACTCCAGCCTGGGGGACAGAGTGAGACCCTGCTCCCCAAAAACAAAAAAGGATAAAGGTAGTCTCAGCTCAGTGGTCAGAGTAAGTTGAGGTGTGAGCCGGGTCCTGTGAGGCCGCAGCTGTGCTGCTCTCCCAATCCAGGTGGCCCAGAGTGGTGAAATCCCGCCATCCTGCTGCAACTTCCCTGTGGCTGTGTGCCGGGACAAGATGTTTGTGTTCTCGGGACAGAGTGGAGCCAAGATAACCAACAACCTCTTCCAGTTTGAATTCAAGGACAAGACGTGAGTGCCCTGGTGCAGGGGGTAGGGGAAGGCAGTCAACACCCTTGCCTGCAGCTGGGAGCCACAGTAACCATCCTTGCGGGGCGGCATCCAGCAGGTGCTTACAGCCTGGAGCAGGGGAGCGTGGTGCCCTCAGCAGGCCCTGGGCAATGGCTGCAGCTCAGCAAGACAGGCACGGGCAGGGAGGCCCCCTCTGAGCGTGGAAGATGGCCCTTGCCCAGTGAATAGGTTGGCCACCAATGACAAACGCAGCCAGCACAGATCTCACGTGATGGCAGAAGACCCCGTGGCTGTGCAGGCTCTGACTTACGCTGCCCTTGCTGCTAGCTGGCCCTCGACCCCTGCCATGGAGCTGGCCTGTGGCTCTGGGAGCGAGTGGCGGAGAGGGAACAGGAGTGTTAGCTGTGGGTCAAGGGGGCTTGGGAGCTGCCCTGAAGGCCAGGGGTGGGCAGGAGGAAGGGCAGGGCAGCCCAGGCAGAGGAACCGCTGAGTGACTGGGGTCAGCATGCAGCCAGGATCTGTCCTGAGTCTTAGTGAACTCTGCAGAAGAGGGGACTTGCTGGGAGGTGCCGGGACTCCTGGGGGTGGAGGGTGTGTGGAGCAGCGTCGGGGGCCAGGCAACTCCCAGGCAGTGGCACCCTCCAGCGGGACGGCGTGCTTGTGCACAGCTCCACTCCCAGAGTGGGACTGCCTGGCAGGTCAGCTGCCACCCCTCCCAGAAGGGTCACTGTCACTGCTGCCTGCTCTGTGGCGGGGAGTGGAGGGGACTCTGGCAGGACCCGATGGTGGGCCATGTGGAGCCAGGCAGGGCTGGTGCCAGAGCTGGACAGGGCAAGAGACTCTGGGCACACATCCAGGTCCTCCCTCTAGACCCTGGGCTGGTCACCAGGGGGACTTCCCAGTGGGGGCCTGCTGTGGGGAGGCCATGTGGGGAACAGGGGCCCACGCCCCAGCAGTGGCTCACTGTCGTGTACCCCTAGATGGACACGCATCCCCACTGAGCACCTGCTCCGGGGCTCCCCCCCACCCCCACAGCGGCGCTACGGGCACACCATGGTGGCCTTTGACCGCCACCTCTATGTGTTTGGGGGTGCGGCTGACAACACACTGCCCAATGAGCTCCACTGCTACGATGTGGACTTCCAGACTTGGGAGGTCGTGCAGCCCAGCGCCGACAGCGAGGTGAGTGATGTCAGGCCTCGGCGCCGTGGAGGTGCCCAGGGCGTCTGACCGCTGGCTGGATGCCAGGGGCCCCCACCTGCTGCCACCTTCTCCCCGGCTCGTCAGTCACGGCTGTGGGGCCTCCCAGGGGTCCAGACGGCCACCAGAGTAGGGCCGGCATGTGCACCTGCCCCTTGGGCCCTCGAGCCCCACCCGTCCCGCAGCCAGCAGCCCTGAACAGACCACAGCCCGCCACGCCTGCGCACTGAGCGGCAGACCCTTCCCGGAGTTGGCCTCACCTCTGGCCGGCCCACACCCTGGCAGTGGGCGCCCTCCCGCTCCGGGGCTCTTCCCTCCCCCGCCCCCACAGTGCTCCTGGGCGGGATGGCTCGCTTGCCGACCCGCACACCTGCACGTCCCTGCCTCCAGGTCAGCGGGGCTGAGCTGCCCGAGCGAGCATCTGCTTTGGAGGAGGCACCCACCCTGACCTGCGAGGAGCGGGGCAGCTTCAAGAAGTCCCGAGACGTGTTCGGCCTGGATTTCGGCTCCGCCTCAGCCAGGCCACCCGTGCAGCCAGCCTCAGAGGTACTGGCCGCAGCGGGTCCTGTGAGCAGCCTCAGAGAAGGACTGTCTCAGGGTCACTCCTGGCCCTGCAGACGAGGCACAGGGCCAGGAGCCCATGCCCTGCTGCTGGGCTACAGCCCCAGGGCCCTGCGGCAGGGGCAGGCCTCTGGGGCCAGCACAGCCCACTGTCCTCTGCGGGGCTCCACGCACGGCCAGGCCTGCCCCTCACCCACAGAGCGCTGCCTCCCACCGGAGCCTGTGCCTGCAGCTGGGGGCGCTCGCCCTCAGGGACCGTGCTCTCTGGCCCTACCCCACACACCTGCCTTGTCCCTTCCCCAGCTGCCCAGCGGGAGGCTCTTCCACGCGGCCGCTGTCATCTCGGACGCCATGTACATCTTTGGGGGCACCGTGGACAACAACATCCGCAGTGGGGAAATGTACAGGTTCCAGGTGGGGCTCGGGGACCTGCAGGGCCATCTGGGGTGGACAGGGCCCCCAGGACAGGGAACTGAGGCCCCGTGTCGGGGCGGAGCTTGTGCAAGGCTGAGTCTGGCAGCTGGGGAGGGAGACTCTAGGTTGAGGGCAGGCTGAGGTGACACTAGGGGTGGAGGAACTTCATGCTTGGGGCACGTGGGTGATGTGGGGCTCACATGGGGCCCAGAGGAGAGCAAAGCAGAGCCGGGCTGACAAGAAGGCAGCCCCTGCCCAAGCCCGCTGGAGCAGGTGGTCACGGTGGGGTCCGCGGGAATAGTGGGTCGGGGACAACTTGTGCGGGAGATCGGGCTGTGTTGGCAGGGACAGCACAAGTGCACGGGTCCAGGCATAGAGAGGAGATGGCCCAGCGGAAGAGGAGCCCCCAGGCACGGGGCGACCAGGGCAGTCTGTGCCTGGGGGTGAGGAGGCAGCCGCTTCCCCTCCCCACCAGGCCCACCCGCCTCCTGGGCCCCGAGGGTTTGTATGGGCCAGTGGGGACCCCAGGGTCAGCCTGCATGGCCACAGTGGGCCGCCCTGCTGTCTCCGGTGTCTGGCAACACTGGCGTGCCCTCTTGCAGTTCTCCTGCTACCCCAAGTGCACGCTGCACGAGGACTACGGGCGGCTGTGGGAGAGCCGCCAGTTCTGCGACGTGGAGTTCGTGCTGGGTGAGGTGGGTGCCCTCCGGCACGCGAGGCCCCTCTGCTGTGCCCATGGAGCAGGAGCGTGATCCTCAGAGGCTCGGCTGCCTGCCCAGTGCTGCCTGCCCTGGCCAGCCAGGCCTTGCACCCATGCCTTGTTTGTTGTGCAGAAGGAGGAGTGTGTGCAGGGCCACGTGGCCATCGTCACCGCGAGGAGCCGCTGGCTCCGCAGGAAGATTGTACAGGCCCGGGAGTGGCTGCCTCAGGTGAGGCGCCCGTTCTGCCCGCCCTGACTGAGCAGCTCGATCCCTTGTCCCCTGGGTGCCCCCAAGCTCCCTTCTTCTCTGCGCAGAAGCTGGAGGAAGAAGCAGCCTCAGCTCCCAAGGAGGCCGCGGGCATGGCTGCGGGGGGAGGCCGGCCGCCCCTGCTGCGCGTGGCCATCCCAGAGGCCGAGGCCCGGCCCTTCGAGGTGCTCATGCAGTTTCTCTACACCGACAAGATCAAATACCCGAGGAAAGGTCCGCCTAGGGTAGGGGTGGAGTGGGAACAGGGTGGGGTCTGGCAGCAGAGCCAGAGGGTGGGTGCTGCTGGCCTCACCTTACAGATGGGCCCCGTGAGGCTCAGAGGCTACAGTCACTTTTTTTTTTTTGAGACAGAGTCTCACTTTGTTGCCCAGGCTAGAGTGAGTGCCGAGGCGTCAGCCTAGCTCACAGCCTCAAACTCCTGGGCTCAAGCGATCCTGCTGCCTCAGCGAGTAGCTGGGACTACAGGCATGCGCCACCATGCCCGGCTAATTTTTTCTATATATATTAGTTGGCCAATTAATTTCTTTCTATTTATAGTAGAGACGGGGTCTCGCTCTTGCTCAGGCTGGTTTTGAACTCCTGACCTCAAGCGATCTGCCTGCCTCGGCCTCCCAGAGTGCTAGGATTACAGGTGTGAGCCACCGCGCCTGGCTGCCGCGGTCACTCTTGATCACCTGTGATCTCAGCAGCCAGCATGTGGCTGAGCTGCCATCTGAGGCCCCCAAAGGCTATTTTCCCACCTAGTAACCCTGAATCACATTTGTCCATGGAGGGAGCCCCGTACCCTGGGCTCCTGTCTTGCCCTTCCCGGGGTCCCCAAGACTCAGGAATTCTGGGCCGCAGGCCACGTGGAGGACGTGCTGCTCATCATGGACGTGTACAAGTTGGCGCTAAGCTTCCAGCTGTGTCGCCTGGAGCAGCTGTGCCGGCAGTACATCGAGGCCTCCGTGGACCTGCAGAACGTGCTGGCTGTGTGTGAGGGCGCCGCCCGGCTGCAGCTGGGCCAGCTCAAGGTGCGGGCAGGGTTCCGGGGCAGCCAGGCCCTGCTGTGCGGGGTGGGTAATGCCCAGGCCGAGCCCCGCCCTGCCCACCCCTGCGAGCTCCTCGCCCAGCCTGGGATCCTGGCTTGACTCTGCCTGCCTGCCCATGCCTGTCTGTCCCAGGAGCATTGCCTGAACTTCGTGGTGAAGGAGTCCCACTTCAACCAGGTGATCATGATGAAGGAGTTCGAGCGCCTCTCATCCCCGCTGATCGTGGAGATAGTGCGGCGGAAGCAGCAGCCACTCCCTCGCGCCCCCTCGGACCAGCCCATGGACATCGGTAGGGAGCCCCTGCCGCCCTTCCCTGGGGGTGGAAGGGATGGTGTCCATCTTGGGCAGGAGACCTGGGAACCGCAGAGAGCACCTGCCAGGCCCTCGGGGCCTGGGGCGGACACAGTCCCTCTTTCTGGCTGGGATGCTGGGCCTGACGGCCCAGGGTCACAGTGATGGGTCGCTGTGTCTCTGCTGGGCACAGTGAGGGTCAGAACAGCCACAGACCTCGTTCGCCTGCTGCCTCCTCGGCCCCACCTAGCAGGAATGAGTATTACAGCTCTTTCCTCTGCCAGCCCTCCCTGGGGACTGCTGATGCCTGGAGACCCCAGAGGCCTGGGGGGGCCAGCATGGGGGCACAGTGGGCTGTCTTGGAAGAGCAGACATTGGGGGCCAAGCAAGCCTGAGAGCCGTGTTTGAGGCGCAGTGCTCGAGTCAGCTTGGGGGACCGAAGGAGAAGAGGACAGGGCTGGTGGCGCCTCAGTGCCAGAGTGAGGCCCGTGCCCGAGGGAATCTTTGCTCAGGGCAGCATCGTGGGCAGATGTGTGGGAGGCGACGCCCGTGAGGTCCCTAGACCAGAATCCAAAGCTGCCCCAAGCTCAGAGTGTGCTGGTGGTGTGGGGGCACCTGCTCAGGTCCCTCCACACCCCCAGGCACATCTCTGATCCAGGACATGAAGGCATACCTGGAGGGGGCGGGCGCGGAGTTCTGTGACATCACGCTGCTGCTGGACGGCCACCCTCGGCCAGCCCACAAGGCCATCCTGGCTGCCCGCTCCAGGTGTGTGCCGGAGGGCAGGGCAGGGCAGGGCAGGGCAGGCCTGGTGCCGGCTGCATCCTCTGAGAGCGGGGTCTGCGGCCCTCTGTGTGCAGCTACTTTGAGGCCATGTTCCGGTCCTTCATGCCCGAGGACGGGCAGGTGAACATCTCCATTGGGGAGATGGTGCCCAGCAGGCAGGCCTTCGAGTCGATGCTGCGCTACATCTACTATGGCGAGGTCAACATGCCCCCCGAGGACTCCCTGCATCCTTGTGCCGAGGGCACTCCTCCCTCCCAGTCACTGCTGAGGGGTCCCGATGCCCACCGTGGGCCGCTTTGAGGCCCAGCTGCCCTGTCTTGGCCGGGCGTCCCGGGCCCAGCGCCTCACGCCGGAGGATTTGCTGGGGCCGTGCTGGGCTGGTGTCTGAAACGCTCAGGCCAGCTGGGAGGGTTCGCAGCCAAGAGGGACGGGTGGGTTCTCGACCCCACGATGGCCTGGAGCATGTGGCTGTCATTGCCCCGAGACAGGCGAGCACACGTGTGGGGCACCTCCTAGTACTTCACTTCAGTAGGGTGTGAGGCGGCCCTTCCCTTCAGGGATCTGTGGGGCCCTGGAGTGGTTCTGGGGACACGAGTTGTGGTTTTCCTTGGATCTGGAATGTGGCCTTTGACCCACTGAGAGGTTCTGAGCCCATTTAGAGAGGGTGCCAGTGTCAGGGCTGGATCGGAGCCTCGGCCCTGGTGGGTGAGGGGCTCCACCGCACTGTCGGGGAGGAGGGCAGCTGGGTGTGAGGACGGGCTTCCTGTGGCTGTCAGTTCCTTAACGGCCCCCAGCTACCTGTTCGCGGCTCCCTACTACTACGGCTTCTACAACAACCGGCTGCAGGCGTACTGCAAGCAGAACCTGGAGATGAACGTGACAGTGCAGAACGTGCTGCAGGTGGCTCCACGGCGCCTGTTGGGGGGAGGGGGGCAGATGTGGGGGCAGCACCTCAAGGTCCTGCCGTTGCAGATCCTGGAGGCGGCCGACAAGACACAGGCGCTGGACATGAAGCGGCACTGCCTGCACATCATCGTGCACCAGTTCACCAAGGTCAGGGCTGAGGCCTCCCCTTCAGCTGCCTCCCTGCTTCCCCTTGGCAGTGGCCATGGCCAGGCGGAGGAGGGGTGCCTGGGCGCCAGGAGGGGTGCGGTCGTGGGCTGTGGGGACAAGGTGGGCAGAGCAGCCTGCCACTGGCCACTGCTCAGGCTCATCCCTGGAGCTGGCCTGAGCCCTGAGCGAGTCCAGCCCCGGAGGACTCTGTTGCCCACCTGGCCCTTGTGTGGATCCGGTCCCATCTGGTCCCGGCCTTCTGGTTGCCTCGGCAGGTCTCCAAGCTGCCCACGCTTCGGTCGCTGAGCCAGCAGCTGCTGCTTGACATCATAGACTCTCTGGCCTCCCACATCTCTGACAAGCAGTGTGCAGAGCTGGGCGCCGACATCTGAGGCCCTGCGGTGCCCACCCAGCATAAAGAGTCACTGTACTTGCCTGCCCGCCCTACCCACCGCGGGGACTGCCCCGGCCACACTCGTGCCTGCAGCAGAGGGGTGCACAGAGGAGGTCCCATGGGGAGCAGATAGGGAAGCAGGTCCCTCCCCAGCCAGCCCCTCTCCTGGAGCAGAGGTGCAGGTGGGAGGCCACAGCTCAGTGATGGGGACAGCACCCGGAAGTGGGGAGAGCCCAGGGAGCCATGGCCTTGGGCCTCCAACCCAGCAGGGCCTGGGCATGGGCTTTGGGGGCTTGGCATGGCCCCCTGGCCTGGGAATGTTGTAGATCCAGGGTCCTGTTGCCAAGGCCCCTCTAGTGTGGGGGAGGGGGCTTAGCAGAATCGCTGCCCTACCAAGGAGTTCACCTGGGCTGCACCCGCCCCCTCACCCTCACTGAGGTCAGCGCAAGGGGCCCCTCCTCCTGCCCTCAGTTTGTAACTGGGGACCCATGGTGGGCAGGTCTGAAGGGCCCTGTGGTCAGCTCGCAACCAACAGGCCAGCCATGCTGGGCTGGGCCTGGCTTCCAGATGGGCTGTAGGAGGTGCTGCCCGGTCTCTGTGTCCCTCACTATTTATTCTGTCATAGACATGCCTCCATTAAAGCCACAGCAGTGCTACCCACCTCACTCGCCTTGCTAGCAGTCTGCCCCTGGCCTCTGGCCCTCAGCTCCTCGCTGTCCTGCAGCTGAGGACTGGCTCTGTGGCCGGAGGGTGTGGCAGCCCTCTAGACATGGCTTCAGCCAGTCTTCCCTGTTTCTCTGTACATCTTGTCAACAGCTCCCTGGGGCTACCCAGTCACATGAGGGAGAAGGGACCGTGGGCGGCATCCAGGCTGCCCCTGCCCTGGTGCTCTGCCGTGCTCCTGCGCCATCCTGTTGGCTCGGGGGCAGGGGCTGACCTCCCACCTGGGCTAGGAGCCAAAGACAGGCTCGCGCATCCTCCCGTTGCTCTAGAGAAGGTCCTGTGTGGGTCCCGGCTGCCACAGAACCAGAGCTCGCCTGGGGGAAATGAGCTGCTCTCCTGGCCTTAGAGTTCATCTCCTTGCCCTGGCTGTGCCCCACACAAACATGGCCTTGCCACCGCCCCAGCCGTACTGCCCCGGGGGGCCCTGCATGGTACAGTGGCACCCATAGCCAATGGCAGCAGGCCCGAGAAGCCAGGCCGCAGGCTAGCAAGTGGCCTGTGCCAGATGAGCTGAGAATGAGGAAGGAGCAGGAGCTGAGGCAGAGGGCTGAGCTGTGGGTGTCCTCTGACGGTGAGAGTGTGCCAGCACCTGGAAAACTTCCAGACTGGGTGAGAGTCACTCATGGTGGGGCCATGGAGCCACCCACCCAGAGTGCCACACCCCCACGGGGTGGCCTCGAGGCATCCATGAACTGCACCTACAAGTCCTGCCCTACACCGACCCTTGTAACTGGTCCCCAACTGTCTCTCAGACACGATAAAGTTACACGCCAAAGGCCCTAAAAACCAAACTTTAGAACGTTGTGTGGCAGTCACTGGGGCTAAAAGCAATTCTGCCATGCTCCCTGGGCACAGCAGGGAGGTCATGCCTGCAGTCACAGTCGCCCCACACTCCGAGCTGCCTGCCAGTCACAGCGGCAGTGAGGCCTTCTAGGTTCCTGAGTGGAAGGAAAATAAGGGCACTGAGGCCAGGACCCACATGCCTGCCATGATCTACCCACCTCTTCCCGGACTTGCAGGGTCGATTATAGAATGGTTGCCTCTTAGGGCCTCTCTACCTCTGCTATGCATAGCCACCCCAGGTCAATGACTGTCACCATTGCCCCCATTTTTCAGATGGAGACGGGCCTAGTGGGGTGGGGACCTGTGAGCAGAAGCCTGCTGTGCCCCTGCCTAAGAACCGAGTCCAGACTAGCTGGCTTAAATCCAAGACTGTTTCAGGTCCCAAGGAAAGAGTTCCTGGCATCGGCCCCTACTTACACCATCCTGCCTTCAGAGAACCTGTGTGGCAAGGAGCTGCACAGGCAGGGGTGGCTGGACCCCAGAGTCTGGGCCCTCTCGGGGCTGCAGCCACTAGGGGGAACAAGCCTAGTACCCAGAGAGGCTTCTATCCCTAGCTGAGCCAGACAGCAGGGCCTCCTTCTAGAATCCACTTTATTATGGAATCTGGCAGGTCTGGTGGATATAGTTCAATTGAGGTCCCTCTCCAGGCAGATTCTGAGGGAGGAGGCCACAGCCTAGCTGGGCAGCCCCTCACTCAGGCCATGCTGCTGCTCAGCTGCATGGCGAAGTCTTGCACATGCTCCTTCAGAGTCTGGCGGGCGTCCGCCTGTGCTCGCTTTTCCCGTGCCCGCTCCTGCTGCAGCTTGGTCAGCCGCAGCCGTAGCCTCTGTTCCCGCCGCTTGCAGGCCTGCAGCTGGCGCTGGGCCTTGTCCAGGGCGTCAAGGGCTGCCTCAGCCCGCCGCTTCCAGAGCAGGGCACTGCCCACCTGGTAGCTGTGCTCATTCTGGATGTAGGCTCCGGCGGGTGGTGGCAGGCGCAGCATGTAGGCTGAGGGGGACACGGGCCGTGGCTCTAGAGGGGAGGGCTGCTGCTCTGGTGAGGGTTGGGCACTACAGCCCGCTTCATCTGCTTGGGCACCCAGGGAGCCCAGGAGGTCTGAAAAGGGGCTGCTAAGACCAGGCTCCAGCCTCCCAGCTGGGGAGGCAGGCAAAGTGGCAGGTGCTGAGGCCTCTTCCACTGGAAAGCAGGTGACATCAGCAGGTGGGGGTGGAGAAAATGGAGTTGTGGGCCCTCGGCCTTCAGAGCAGCTGCAGTGGGGAGAGAGAGAGAGAGACTGACAGGCTAGGCTAAGGGCTTGCCGGACCCCACTCTGCCAGCGCGCCAGACCCCCCCAACACCTGAACCTATTCCACAGGTTCTGTGCAGACTGTTGGCAGACACCTTAAATCCCAGTCCCTTAGCCGTGGGGTGGGGTGGGAGTGGGCATCCCCCCGCTGCAGCACATACCGCTTCCTGCATTGCCGCAGCCGGCTGACATCAGGGCGGCCAGGTGGGTAACTGTGCCCCTTGGTCTTGCTTGTCCGGCGCAACTTGGAAAAAGACTCGAATATGGTGGGGACTGCCCCTTCCTTCAGCCTGTGATAGCCACTGTGGGAAATGCAGCCCAAATGAGCTGGAGAACCAGTGCTGCCTCCCCAGGCTGACCTACCCCAGCTGGAGCCAGCATGTTCTCCAGTATCCCAGAGTGCTTCCCCAGGACTAGCCTGTCGCAGGCTTGAAGGCAATGTGCAAACAATTATGTTTGGGGAATGGCAAATTAGGCAGTCACAGCAACCTACTCCCTGCAGGACTCCTCAAAGTTGAGGTGCGTGGAAAGCTTCCACAAACAGAGCTGGGTTGACTGGCCAAAAAGAATTATTTTATTTCTGGACTTGCTAGGAGGACTGGGGTTCTGAAGAACACCATCCGGAAAGGCTCATGTTTTGCTTTTGTCACTGGCAGTGATGTCGGGAGTGGGTCTTACTGGCTAGAGAAGGGAAGAGGAAACCCCTGGCACCAGATCTGCCTGCCTGGCAGGCTGTCCTTGTGCCACCTGCTAAAGGGACTTCCGGATCAGGACCGATAGCTGCCCCCATCTGCCCTAAGCCCCACACCCTGCCCCAGTGATGGCTGGCACGGAGGCCCACCTGATTCCCACCAGCTCAAAGCAGTTCTCCTCGAAGTGTTTAGAGCAGAAGTAGATGTACTCCGACGCCGGGTCCCATAGGCCCTGGCCGCTGGGGTCCAGCCGCCGGCAGTTGGCCAGCCACAAGCCCCGTCTCGGGTTGTCCTTCTTGGGAAGTCTGCAGGACCACAAACCCGTGAGCAGCAGGCTGTCCGCAGCCCTGGGCTCATGCTGCCCAAGCTCCCCAGACAGGACCAGCAGACCCAGCACAAGAGGCCGCGAGACCCCACGGTGACCCCGCCTAGTAAGCACAACACGCCCGGGCACACACAAGGAAACTGAGGACTCAAGAAGAAAAGCAACGCGTTCAGCGTCATCTAGTAGGTAAGAGTCAGAGTAGCGGGTCCAAGCCCGTCCTCCCTTTCCCTCGGGGACCGCCTCCTTCACCCTTTCCCACCCTAAACGTCAAGGCTCGCCTGGACTAGAGCACTGCCCAGAGCGCATGCGCAGCCGCGGCACCGCGCAGTGGGCAACGCAAGCGCATGCGCACCCCCAACCCCTGTACCAGCACGCAGGCGCGCCGACCTGTGGAAGGAGATGCCGCGGTTGCGCGTCTCGCGCGTGTCCCGTGTGCAGCAGCCGGCGGCGGAGCAGTGACGCGGCATCTGGGGAAGAGGCGGGAGCTAAGTCGACGGCGGCTATCCGGGCCTGGAGGAGCCTCGCGCCTCCAGCCGCCGCTCTGCCCTAGGGGGCCCTGACCCGTCGGGTCCCCCAGGGCCCGATCTCGCCCCAACCCTGTCCCCGCCGGTTCTCTTGACTCCCGTCAGCGGCACTCACGGTCTCGCCATTGCTGCGCCGCCAAAATCTCGCGAGGTGTGGCGGGCGGCGGAAGTTGGTACCATAGAGACTCTGGCTCGGGCGGTGCTCGGGCCGAGGGGCGGGGCAGGAAACGGCCCCGGCAGGCGGGCTCCGGAAGCGGCGGGAGCGCGGGCGCCGTCCCTGCGCCCACATCTGTCAAGCTTCCCGGACTGCCAGCGCTGTCGCCGCGTGGGTTTCCCGCGGTCCATTCGAAGCTCACTCTTGTCTAACCGCCCCGTCGCAGATAGGGCGGCCCCAGCGAGCGGATCGGCGGCGGGAACCGGCAGTGCCCCGGGAGCCTCGCCAGCCGCGGGGGCGACAGCCCGCCCAGGAAGGCTCTTACAGAAGAGACCGCACCAAGAACATGGGGGCCGGGACGCTCGCACTGAAGAACCGACAAAACCCCGGGTACCAGGGACGAGGACTTGAGGGCGGCCTAGTGGTGGCCCGTTTAAACTTGGGGAACATGCGATGGGCTGGTTCCATTGAAGCCACATGCGACAGGAACGTGACACCTGGGGGAAAACTAAAGAAAACCAAGGAAACGGAGTGTCGGGAACTGGGTTCGTGCAGCCCTAGGACAGACACATACCTGGGACGGCTGCGTTCCAGACCTATCCACTTCTTACAGGGCTGAGGATGAAAACAGCCGCTCTGCTTAAGGAGGAGAGAACTTAAAATAATCAGAGCCTTTTTTTCCTGATTCCCTCAGCCGGGCGTTTTGAACCCTTCCTCTGGGAGGTATGCAGTAACTAAAACATACTGACATGCTTAGGACAGGAAATGACTGGATGTTTTCTTCCCTAAAAATCCACATGGAAAAGACAGGTTATCTGGAGGAGGAATTCTGTCAAAATACAGCACAGGGGACAGATGATGTCTCAATACAGAAATTTTAATAGGTAAATATATCTTGTAACGTTATGGTAGGGGAGGAATACAAAGGGATGGTGGCCTGCGCTTCCTCCCCTCAGTATTCTTCCCCTTCCTCAGCCTCGGCTTCCACGGAATCCACGCCCACCTCTTCATAATCCTTCTCCAGAGCGGCCAGGTCCTCTCGGGCCTCCGAGAACTCCCCCTCCTCCATGCCTTCTCCCACGTACCAGTGCACAAAGGCCCGCTTGGCATACATGAGATCGAACTTGTGGTCCAGGCGGGCCCAGGCCTCGGCGATGGCGGTGGTGTTGCTCAGCATGCACACCGCCCGCTGCACCTTGGCCAGGTCTCCCCCGGGGACCACAGTAGGGGGCTGGTAGTTAATGCCCACCTGCCAAAAACAGAACATAAAGTTAAGTTTATATTAGCCTCAGAAATGGTAGCTCATTAAAAATTGGAGCTGTGGGCCCAGTTCCAACAATGCCCTGTAAAAACTGGTACTATATTTTCTTGGCATTACCTATGATCATTTAATATACTATGACCCTGTAATTTCACTTTTTAAAGATTTATCTGTCCAAGAGCACAAATCTATATTTATAAAGATTTTTATGTATTTAGTTTGAAACAACTGTCTATCACAGGGAACCAATTAAATCACCTGGGAATGTGCTGAGGTGGTGACCCTTCCCTGTCCTTGTGAACAGATAGCAGTTGGCAGCACCTAGACACACACTGAGGGTCCAGGGGGGTGGAAGCGGCAGGGAGAAAGGTACAGGGGAGTTCACACCCTGATCAAGGACTAGCCTCCCACAACTCTTAACACCAGGCCAAGTGGGACTATTGCCAGCTTCCTGTTCTCTGTGGCCACCTGTGTGCAGTGATCCTTTGTCCATGTCTACTGGCCTCTGTCAACCCACATCACCTGTATAATAAGAGGCCAGCATACCTTGAATATGTACAGAACATCTCTCAAAGGACAAAAACAGCTCGGGCGAAGGGAAGAGGACTTCAGCTTTTTACCCTTATGAATTGTTTTAATATTTTGCCACATACAAGTATTTTTATAAGAAAAAACTCCAATGTTTTTCAACATGAAAAAGATTCCTTAAAGATACTGTATACGTAAGCAAATGGTTATTAAACAATATATGGTAAATTGGCCAGGCATGGTGGTTCATGCCTGTAATCCTAGCAGTCTGAGAGGCCAAGGTGGGAGGATAACTTGATGCCATTGCAGTCTAGCTGGGGCAACAGAACAAGACTGTCTCATAAAAAGCAGATCACAGACCTACAAAAAGGAACTTAGAGGTGGCTCACACCTAAAATCCCAGCACCTTGGGAGGCCAAGGCAAGGGGATTGCATGAGGCCAGAAATTTGAAATCAGCCTGGGTAACACACCAAGCTCCCATGTCTTAAAAAAAAAAAAAAAAAATTAGCTGGCTGTGGTGGTATATCCCCATAATCCCAGCCACTCAGGAGGCTGAGGTAGGCGAATCCTATGAGCCCAGGAGTATGCAGCTGCATTGACCTATGATCATATCACTGTACTCCAGCCTAGTCCATAGAGTGAGACCCTGTCTCCTAAAAAAAAAAAAGGAACTCAGAGCATCTGGGCTGAGGCAGAAGGATTGCTTGAGCCCAAGAGTTTGAGGTTGCTGTGAGCTAGGCTGACACCCCGGCACTCTAGCCCAGGCAACAGAGTGAGACTCTGTCTCAAAAAAAAGAAAAAAAAGATAGACACTTAAAGCTGTCTCACCCTTAGTCTTCGAAAGTATAAGAGACTGATAATACTACTCAATGAACTTGAAAGGGGTGGTGGTAAGAAATAAGGGTACATAAGGTATTTGGTAAAGTATAAGGCAGTTAACAGATGGACAGCCCTGGTCTGCTGCTGGCTGACAGGTACAAAGAGTCGACATCACCCACTCCTACCTTAAATCCAGTCGGACACCAGTCCACAAACTGGATGGTGCGCTTGGTCTTGATGGTGGCAATGGCCGCATTGACGTCTTTTGGGACCACGTCCCCCCTGTACAACATGCAGCAGGCCATGTACTTGCCATGGCGAGGGTCACACTTGACCATCTGATTCGCCGGCTCGAAGCAGGCATTGGTGATCTCGGCCACGGACAGCTGCTCGTGGTAGGCCTTCTCGGCTGAGATGACAGGGGCGTAGGTGGCCAGGGGGAAGTGGATGCGGGGGTACGGCACCAGGTTGGTCTGGAATTCTGTCAAGTCCACGTTCAGGGCCCCGTCGAATCGCAGGGAGGCAGTGATGGAGGACACGATCTGCCCGATCAGACGATTGAGGTTGGTGTACGTGGGACGCTCGATATCCAGGTTGCGCCGACATATGTCATAGATCGCTTCGTTGTCCACCATGAAAGCACAGTCAGAATGTTCCAGGGTCGTGTGGGTGGTCAGGATGGAGTTGTAGGGCTCCACCACAGCCGTGGAAACCTGGGGGGCTGGGTAGATGGCAAATTCCAGCTTGGACTTCTTGCCATAGTCCACCGACAGCCGCTCCATGAGCAGAGATGCGAACCCAGAGCCGGTGCCGCCCCCAAAGCTGTGGAAGATGAGGAAGCCCTGCAGTCCCGTGCACAGATCCGCCTGAGAGAAACCAGACAACGTCAGCCAATGCCTGTGGCAGCCACGCCACCAACCCCCAACAAGCCAGAGTCACCTCTCTGCCTCTGCAAGTGGATATGGATTCAAGTCGTCCATGATCAACACACATTACACTTGGAAGTCAAAAAGGCAGACGATAAAGATCTATGGACGTTGGCCGGGCGCGGTGGCTCTTGCCTGTAATCCTAGCAGTCTGGGAGGCCAAGGCAGGTGGATTGCTCGAGGTCAGGAGTTCGAAACTAGCCTGAGCAAGAGCGAGACCCCGTCTCTACTATAAATAGAAAGAATTTAATTGGACAACTAATATATAGAAAAAAAATTAGCCGGGCATGGTGGCACATGCCTGTAGTCCCAGCTACTCGGGAGGCTGAGGCAGGAGGATTGCTTGAGCCCAGGAGTTTGAGGTTGCTGTGAGCTAGGCTGATGCCACAGCACTCACTCTGGTCTGGGCAACAAAGCGAGACTCTGTCTCAAAACAAACAAAAAAAAAGATCTATGGATGCGTCGCAACACATGCTTCACAGCTGGTCTAAGATTTGCCAAAACAACCTCCCCTTCACAATCCAAGGCCTACCCTCCCATCTAGCACAACATCTATAATGCACCAAGCCTTGCAGGCGCCTCTTACCAGTTTGCGGATCCGGTCCAGGACCAGGTCGACGATCTCCTTGCCGATGGTGTAATGGCCTCTGGCATAATTATTGGCTGCATCTTCCTTCCCGGTGATCAACTGCTCCGGGTGGAAGAGCTGCCTGTAGGTCCCTGTGCGCACTTCATCTACAAACAGACCGAGTGTGCTCTGAGTCTTTAAGGTCTAGGGTACTCACCAAGATGGACACGTTCGGGGACTGTGCACCTCTACAGAGAACATGCTGCTCCTTGGAGGTCAACTGTGGGAGTGTCTTGTAGGAAATGTCTCCGTAGGGTACACAAACCATAAAAAAAAAAATTATGGCTCTAGGAAGGTAAACTTAGCTTGTGGTACAAATGCCAGCAGGACCAGTTCCCAGAGAAGGGCAATAAGCTCTCACACCCCCATGCAGGTAATTCTACGGGTACACATTTCTTTCCTACCCATAGCTACATCAAAGAGTATAATTTAAAAATCTCTCACAAACTAGGCAGTCACCAGGTCAGCGTGACTTCTGCAGGATAGTCCTATCAGGGCACCCTTATGTGGCTTGGGTCTCACAGGCTTTCAGGTGGCATTCTGTCATCTCCTGGGGGGCCACTGAAAGGTAGTCTCTTCTTGCAGCCTGCCTCAGGCTTCTAATCTAGAGGAACCAAATGAATGTTCTGTAGTTGCCTTTTTATGTCTGAGATGCAGGTCAAGACTCCCATGCACTTGCATGAGAATGTGCACAGCATCAAGGAAGGAACCAATGGCCATGCACCCTGCAGATGGGGTCCACAGCAGCCACCTGACCAGGGCTGGGGCATCCAGAGTGACTCTCTCCGGACCGCTGGCAAAGCAGCTTTTCTTTGCATGTCAGGTTTTCCTAAATTAGAAGCCTGGGTCTCACAGACACGTGAGCCTTTCAGTTTCTCTCCCAACACCACCACAGGCATATGCTTGTCCATCCTGCCCTTGCCACAGAGGGACTCAAAGGAGCCCATGTGGGACTTTACCCTGCCCCAGGAAAGCTGCCGTCCAGTGCCCGAGCACCTACCGACCACGGTGGGCTCCAGGTCCACAAACACTGCTCTGGGCACATGCTTGCCAGCCCCAGTCTCGCTGAAGAACGTGTTGAAGGAGTCATCCCCGCCACCGATGGTTTTGTCACTTG